GCAGATGTCTGGAAAGTTCAGGTCCCCCATGATGACCATGTCTTTTGACCTAACTACCTCCATGAGCTGACTTAAGAATTCCCGGTCTAGCTCTTCCTCTTGGTTGGGTGGCCTGTAGTAGACCCCCACCGTTAAGTCCCTTTCCCCTCGACTCCCTTGTATTCTAACCCAGAGCACTTCAGTGTGCCCCTCACCTGACCTTGTGCTACTAGATGAGGATGTGTATTCCTCCTTGATGTAGAACACCACTCCCCCACCTTTCCTCCCTGTCCTGTCCCTCCTGTACAGCCTATAGCCCTTGATATTCACTGCCCAATCGTGCATTGGGTCCCACCATGTTTCTGTGAGCCCCACTATGTCTGGCTTGGTATCAGCTAGCAGAGGGCAAGTTCCTCCTGCTTGTTCCCCATGCTATGAGCATTTGTGTAGAGGCATTTGAGGCCTCCTGAAGATGTGTGCACTGGACCCCTAATCTCAGTACTGCCCGGGCCCCAGTTGCTTACCTGGGTATTCATTCTGCTCATCGTTGGTCCAGGCTGGGCTGTTCTTGTGGGTGTCTCTTGGTTTTTTACTTCAAGGCTTCCTCCGCCCTCATCTTCCCCGTCCCCCGACAACCCTAGTTTAAAGCCCACCGGAGGAGATCCACCAACCTAGAAGAGAACACATGCTTACCTTTGGGGGAAAGGTGAAGCCCATCGCACCCGAGCATGTCTCTTGTCATGATGTGTGGGTCATTGTTTAGGAAGCCGAAGCCTGCCTCGAGACACCATTCCCGAAGTCACCGGTTGGTCTCTGATGCAGGTCTCATGTCGTCTTCCACGTCCGCTCACTGGTAGGACAGAGGAGAATATCACCTGTGCTCCTATCTCCCTCAGCACACCCCCCAGAGCATGGTAGTCCATCATCAAGTGATCAGGGCTTCTCCTGGCCACATCATTAGTACCCACATGGATTAAGACCATGGGGTAGTAATCAGTGGGCTGGATCATGGCCTGGATCATCCCTGTCACGTCCCGAATCTTTGCTCCAGGGAGGCAGTACACCGCACATGTTGAGGGGTCCTGGTGACAGATGGGGCCCTCCATACCTCTCTGTACCTCTCAGGATGGAGTCGCCTATGACAATCACTTGACGCTTCCTCCTCCGGGTCTGCTTGGCTCCTTCGGCCTGTTCGGAGCGTGAAGAGAGTGGAGTTGCCTCCTCACTGGAGGTTTCCTCCTCTCCTTCCTTCTCCTTGTCGCCAGAGCCTTGTAACTGTTATCCAGCCAGACTGGAGGAACTGGTACTGCTTTGCTGCGAGCAGCCCTGGTTCTGGCTGTGACCATTTGCCACTCAGCAGTGGAGGGCACCTCCCGGGGTGCTTCTTCATTGTGTGCATGGTCCTGCAGGGAAAGGAAATAACCATCAGTTTCATCCTCCACCTCCCTGATTCCCCTCAGCCTACTAACCTCCTCCTGGAGCTCCCTCACCTGTGCCTCCAGGGCCCTAAGATGGATGCCTGCAGGACAGGTGTGGGGGCCCCCATTCCCTGGCCCCCCCAGCCCTGCTGGGCATCCCCCGCAGGCCCAGGGGGCAGGTGGACGCCAACCCCCCCATGGGCTCTCTCTGGGTGGAGGCCTCAGACAAGCCCTGGGCAGGCAGCGCCCCCCGGACAGGGGCCCTAGCAGCACTTCGCGTCCACACTATTGTATAAGTTGCTATCTATGGTCAGTGGGAGAAATGCACTGTTATGTCTCTAACTGGTAAGCCTTTGAAGCAGGGATTGTTTTTTGTTCTGCTTTGGATAACACCCAGGGCATTGGAATCCTAGTCCACCTGGGAGGAACGTGAAAGATTAAAGGAGCTTTTGTGCACTCCACTTCTGCTGTGAATTTGGTCGGTCTCTAGTCATACTTTGTCAATGGAATGTAATGACCTCATATCTCCTAGTGAGATGACCACAAAGTCCTTCATCACAGATCCTATCCTCAGGTGGTTGGAAAACCTCTGGTGAGGGGGACAAGAGTGATAAGAAGCAAATGCAAATGTTTAAAAAAATGTTTCCATTTTTTGCTGAAATTTCATATTGACAGACATTTATTTTCCTAGTCATTCTTCCATTCTTTACTCTTTTTCTCCCCTCATGTGCACTGAACATAGTGGACTGAGGCACCTAATGATCTGTTACAGCAGTCTAAACCAGGGTTACCTTCTGTGATGTCAGTAAATGTAACAACATTGGAATCTGGTCCTTAGAAAGGATTTCACCAGGCACAGGTACCAACTATATTTATTGCCACAGAAAAAGGAAGAAAAACATGATTGGAAAAATAAAATTCCCTGCAATCAGTGTTAACTGAAGCCAAGGAATTTGCCTCCTGTTTGCAGGAAATCCAGTGCTTCAAGCTTTTCAGGTTTGACAGTGCTCTCACCTTCTCGCTGGAAATGATGATCCTTGGTTTGTTTATCTTAACTAGCATGTGGTCATACCAGAGTTTTAGTAAGCTACTATGGGCTAGCTGCTTTGTCCAGGGTAAGCCAGCTATAAAAAATTGTTTACATTATTTGCAATTTTTAACTGCAATACTATTTTACATTTATGTTAACTTTTAATTTTTGTCCACAGTGTATTAAAAACATTATGTCAGTTGTTATTTTGAAGTCATGGGGCTTTGAACAAGATTGATTAATATTTTTTGGAAAACTTCTAAATATGCCGGAGATTTTTCAAACCACATTGATAACTGGGCCCCTAAACTATCCTTTTGTGCCACTGAAAATCTTCCCCACAATGCATTAGCCCAATGGCCTTTCTGGTAAAGAGGGTTTTGTCATAACAGAACTGGGTCTGTGTATCACTTAATGAATCTGCCAGTTACAGTCAGACATTTATAACAAGAAAGTGTGATTTTTTTTTCTTGCTTGTGTTACTTTTCCAATGTCAGTTTATGATAGCACATTGGTGTGTTTTTTTTCAGACAGAACAACTGAAAATGCCAAGTGTCTTGGCTTCCTTTGTGCTGTGGTAAACCTGACTGATGCTCTATAGTCTTTGATACTGGCATGTATATTGTCCCAGTTCATAGGTTTTGGAAGATCCCCAAAGCACTCCCAGTACATCTAAATCCCAGATGGTGTATATATACCTAACTGTATATGCATACACTCTCACATACACACATATAGCAAGGGCTGAGTCATCTAAATGCCAGAGGACTTTGAGAAAGGCAGGAAAGAATGCTATGCAGGCATCAACATTTTTTAGAGCTTGCTAGCTGTAACTTAGCTTGCAAAGATTACTAGCAGCTGGGATACCACAGGATATTTTTGATTTTCTAACAAAGGCCTGGTCTACCCATATTTTTTGTACCATCTTAACAGTATCTGTGTGGCAGAAGACATTGGATGGTAGTAGCAATGCCCATATTTAAATGTAGGGGTTTTACACACACTTCTACTACTTTTGCTCAACCCCCCCAGCCAGAAACCCAAGAAAATAAATGTTGTCTGGGTGTTCCAAAGCAGACAGACCTCCCCACTAGATAGCAATAATTATTAACAGGGTTAATTACAGAGGAAAAAGGGGAAGAAACACTCAGTTTACAACAGCTAATTCCATCAGAGTGCTATCTTAGTTACACACAGGGTTAATTTACTACTATATTCTCTTGGGGTATCCCTGCTAACTCCTTACATCAGGAGGACTTACTCCATCACAGGGCATATTGCAGGGAAGTGCTACTCCCTAGCCCAGCTGCCTAACAGATGCTGGGCAGGGAGGCTCACTTGGGAATCTTATAGCTGTGCCAGCAGGTGCAGATGGCAGGTGCTGGGTAGGAAGGCCCTGAACAAGGTAGCCAGAGGCTTCCGTTACTTCAGGATGGAGAGTTTAACAGATAAAGTGCGCAGGTAGGAGCAGACAGCTGACCCTGAGCTAGCTAAAAGACTGCAAGTAACTACTTGGGAGCTAGCTGCAGAGCAATAGGGCAGGGTTCCAGGTAGGTAAGAAGAAAACAACTGCTTAGGGAACACACCTGTACTGGTCAGGGGAACACCTGATTGGAAGAGGAGGAGCTCAGGGAATATAAACCTGGGTCCCTGAGGCAGAAGGCGGGTGTTACCCCTAGTTTTGCAGGGAGAGGAGCTCCTGCCAGTCTAAGTTGTCAGGGAGTGAAAGCTGCAGGCCTGGACAGGTACCTGAGGGGGCTGAGAGACAGCTAGTAAGAAGGGCAGAAGCTTCTTTAGCAGTATCATGACCCAGAGGGGCTCTGAGTGTTTTATTTGAAGTGCGTTACTACAGTTTCTGTTACAGTTTAAGCAGAGGACCAGGCTGTAGCTACAGGGGAGGCTTGGAAGCCACACAGCAAGGTGCCTGAGGCACTCTGGGCTTCAAGACCTGCAAAGGGGCAGGTGGAGTGAGCTGGGCTAGGGCTAAGAGGAGCTGAAGCCTGAGGGGCTCCGGCCAAGACAGAGCCAGGGTCCTAGATAAATAAATAAACCTTGCTAGGACCAGGGTGCCTGGCAGGCTGGTAAAAGAACTGATGGACCCAAGTGGCATAGGCATGACTGGAGGGAGGCTAGAAGCTGGATTTAACAGTCCTAGGGTGAATTACTGCCTGAGGGCACAGGTAGGGACAGTAGGGCCCAATGTGTTAATGAGAGACACCTGCTGGTCAGCACAGAGCAGTAGCAGGTTTTGAGTCCATTGTCATGAGCAGGACTGGGGCTGGCCAAGTAGGCAAAGATGAGACAAGTGGGGATCTGATGGGCACATGCGGGGACTCCGGGGAATCAGCTTCTAAGGTAAAATGCATGGAATTTACAGGTGTGTTCCCTAAGGTACGGCCTGGGGAGGTTGCCCTCGGCAGTTGAGTGGCAGGTAGGTCAGTCAGTAGGAGTGCTAGGGCCCCCTGTGGTGGCCAGCCCTGTTGCAGACCCACACAGCACTGTGGCTCCCCACTACCAGGGGCTGCCATTGCTGCTCCTTGCTGCCAAGGGGTGGCTGCTGCCTCTCAATGTTCCTCTTCAGGTTGCTTGGCACAATCCCAGCACTTTCAGACAATAGTGGCCCAGTAGCAGATCCAGGGATGGTGGCTCTTTAGGAAAACTAAATGGCAGTGGATTTCAATCCACTACAGGGTCTCATGTGCCTAACAGGTACTTCTCCCCTTGGGGGTTATGGCAGACTGAGGCCCAAAATCTGATGCCACCAGCTTTACTGCTAACCCAGAGCTGACTCCTCTGTGGAGTCTTGCTAGCACCCTGACCCAAGTCCAGTCCAGGTAAGCAGCCAAGCCCTCTCCCTCTTATCCCTCACTTGGCATTTGAGGACCTCTGTATTACAGACCTCCACACTGGTTGCAATGAGTGCTGTCCCTGCAAGGACTACTGCCCACTTTTCTCTTTCAATATTTGTACCCCTATTCCTAGCTCCACAGATGTCCCCAGATCAGACTTTGCACTACACATCCTGTTGACTTCATGCCTGAGCTGAATGAAGTTTTCCAACAAGTCTCTGAGGACTCATGAAGCAGCATTGCTGGCATAGCCACAGATAGCATGTTTGTTGTCTTTTACCTCTGCAGACACTTAAAGCATGGGAACCAGAACACATTTAAGAGGAGCCCTTGCTTTGGTGGGATTTTCCAAAGCTCTCAGTACTGCCTTAACTCTGTATTGATTTCAGTGGACACAAGATGATAGGAAGGCAACCCCCCTACTTTGTTTCAGAACCATTAGGTGTTGTCTTTAGCCATGGCTGGGAATTATGTCTGGTATGCCAGTGCTCCTGCTGGGGCTAAAACCTGAGGCTCCTAGCTAGAGGGACTTGTTCCTCTGCTCATGGTCAGACTGATTGCCACATTTGGGATCAGAAAGGAATTTCACCCCATAGTTAGCTTTGACAACCTACGGTATGCCTTGTCCTTGGAGTGGCAAGAAATTTAAAAGCTGGGGGACAAGAGCATTACCTGTAGCTAGTTAGGGTGTTTTTGATGTTTTGGGCATTGGGTTTGGTAGTTAGACCAGAGTGGTGTTAGTGTAGGTTTATTTGGAATAAGCTCAACATACACTTGTATAAAACTGTTTAGATAGGGGTGATGCTGCCTTGAGCAGGTAGCTGGACTAGATGACCCCTGGAGGTCCTTCCTAGCCCTTTTTCCTTATGGTTCTAGGAGTCTAAGGTTAGATCAGTACAGGGTCCCTTGAAAATCATACCCCTAACAAACAAAGGAATGGGCTAGAACATGAATAAAAGTAAAATCATTCCATGAATGATTTTAAAGTTTCCAAACTAGTGGCATTTCAGCCAAAGAGAACAGGACTCAACTTCCCCTAGAGAATATGTCAGCACTGCTTAAATAAACCCACAGGAATCTGAATGCATGCAATGCCTGTGGCCCCATAGGGTAACAGGCCTTAGCCCCCCCAAAACTAATTTTGAGGTGGCCAGCAACAGCAGCAGCACCATGGTGCCTCCATCCTGTAGCACCTGGTGCTACTTGGCATGCAGCCAGGCCAGCTCCCCATGCATGCTCATCTCTGTGAAGCTCCACTGCTGTAGCATTGCATCCAAACACCCCTGCCACATGCTTCTCCAGCCCCCCCAAATATTGTCTCCTGCTGCCTAGGGTGGGCCTCAGTAAGGACCTGATGGGAGCTCAGGTAGAGGTTGCTCCTCAAAGGCACAAGCTTGTAAGGTCTTTGGGGCAGGAATCATCCTTCCAGTGCATGTCTGAAGTACCTAAAGCAGTGTGGGGAAATGAATGAAAGCAGAAGCTCCCTTCCCTTCCTGGCACAGGAAGAAGCATGCAGACTGTGGATGCATCTACATGTCATATTAATGGGATGCAGTAAACTCCAGAATTTGCACTGGAGTTTATAAATGCTGCCCCCAGGAACAATGCATGCACCTGGGACCACAGCATACTAAGCCAAGGCAGTGCAGCCCCTGCTGGCAAGGAGCCCAGGAGTCAGCCTGCCAGTCCAGAGCTGGTCCCCTCCCTTGGCTCAAGGTGTTCTGGAGGGGCTGGCTGGTGTATGAGACTTGCTACAGTGTGGGGCTAGCCAGCAGTTGGTCCCCACACTGTAGCACCCTCATGGCCCAAGCAGCCCTGGGTGCCATCTACACATATATTGCAGTGGAGTAAATGAGTCAGCATAGGATGGTACTTGTGTCAGGCAGTACTATCCTATAATGGAGTTAATCAGTTTACTCTGGCCTAATAGGGGTGCATATGTAGACGTTAATGCTTTACTGTGGAGCTAACTCTGTATTTCTTCTGAGAGATGTAGTTGGCTGCCCCCAGTGTGGACACTTGGTTCTGCAAGCTCATGCTAAAGAAAAATAGCCATGGCCCTGGCTCCTTTGGGAGTGATTTGTTTGCTCAGGAGATGCTAGAGCAAAGTAGTCCCTGCATGGCTCCAGCACAAGCACTATTAATGTGTGCAGCTCTTGAAGGAAAAACACCTGCATTTTTGTATTCCTTCATACACCATGCTGGGGCCAGGGGCTGCATGGCTTTCATATGTTCGGTTAGCTGTTATACAGGCTGCAGCAGGAGGCCTTCTCCAGGCTGATTTCCCTGTGGCCCACCCACCTGTTTCTAGGCTAACTGCCCACCACACCTTGTTGTTAATTAGTTCATTGATGTAATTAAGCAGGAGGCTGCCCATTTTTGCCCTGATGCCGTGGGGCACCATCTGTGGCTCCATTCTTCCCCTACACCACAGCCCAAGCCTCACAGATAGCATCCAGATGTTAACATGCACCAGCCCCCACACTGGGCCCCAGAATCCTCTGAACTGAGCCCCTTCTGGACTCCTCTCCTCCAGCAGCCGATTCTGCCTTCATCCTGGGCAGCATAGCTCCCCAAACCACTTCCCCTTCAGGTGTGGTCCCCCAGGACCTTTGGCTACTAGCCCTGGCACACCTCCAGGCCAGTCAGAGCCCCAGGCCCTCAGCTCTGGGCATCCCTTGCAGTGGCCCCCCCAGCCCTTCAACCCTTCTGGTCCTGGCCCCAGCATGGACCAGTCAAGGGATATCCAGATAGGCACAAGTCTATGGCCCCACTCTCTCACTAGGGTCCACCTTCCAGACCCTACAAAAAGGGTAGCCCACCCAGTTGTGAGGGCTAGGGGTTAAGGCACCCCAACCCACCTTTCACCAGGGAGGTCACTGGCCTGACATTTCCTGGGGGCTCCCACCCCACTGGGAGCCCCACCAGGCCACCCACTCCCAGCAGGGTGCAGTTTTAGGTTGTACCCAGGACCAGGAGCCTCCTGACCATCCCCTCCAGCTCCTCCCTTACCTCCAGATAACACCAGCAGTCCTCTCTACCAGGCAATATTGTTGCCTGGCCTCCAGCAGCAAAACTGCCCTGTTTATATGGGCAGCCCCTGATTCAAAATGGCCACCCTCATCAGGCACCTGGCAGCTGCCAGCTCCAGGCCCTTAAAGTGGCAGGCACCCGCAGTGCCCTGCTACATGTGCCCAGTCACTTCCCCACACGGTATTAACTTCTAATAAGAGATACTTAGGAAGGCAAGTATATTTTTGATTGTGTGAAAAGGCAGCAGCACGTGTGTCTGCCCAACTGGTGCCAGATGGATGTCACCAAGGTCACAAATGGCTTTCCACTGATGGTTTTATTTACCTTATTGCAACTCCCAGAGTCCTAACTTCACCCCCATTGCTTTAGCACTGCAGAGATATGTTCTGGAAGGATGGTTCATGCTCCAAAGACCTTACACTCTTAAGCCTGATTTTTAATTTTTCTTTTCTTTTCTTTTTAAGAGAACCAAATGACCCACTTCCAGCTATATAACAAGCTTCCCATCATGAGGACATGTCTGGAACTCCCCCCTCGTGTTAGGGAAGGATTTCATCATACACATGCCCAAAGCTGCTTGTTGGAGACCAGAAGTGTTAAAGTGCCATCTAGTGATTGTCTTTGAAATGTGCACCAGGAATGAACAATGGGACCTGGTGTGAGCTGTAGCATGGAGAGGGAAGGTTGTCTTGGTGCAGTTCAGTTAAAAATAGCAGAATGTTGAAGGAGGGGGAGGTTAAGAAAAGGGGAGCAGTGTAGCCTTATGGCAGCCTATTTCTGCAGTCTGGGAATGGTAAGTGTTTGTACACTCCCATCTTCCATGAGCCTGCTGATTTTGTGAGGGAATTGAGGCAGAGGACTGCTCCTGACACACGGCATGTGGGTAGGTATCACTAGTTGTTGGTATGTTAGACATATGGTTAGTTTGTTGTAGTCATGCTTGTCTGCAGTGGTGCTATGGTCCTTCTCTCTCAATAATGCATTATTTGCCTTATCCATACAGTCAGTGCTTCTAAGTAAGATCTGCTGCGGTGCCCCAGGGAAGGTGGTAATTTTGGGTGTAGGTGGGGGAGGGGTTTGAGCCAGTGTTTGTTAGATTTAAGAGTAACCCCCAAATATTTGAGCCTGCCCTCTTTCGGCTGCTGACAACACCTAGTGGGAAACTGCCCAACTGGCAGCCCACAGCCCTGTGCAGCCTACCCCAGGGGTTAACCTGCAGTCCCAGTTCAGGCGCTGCTCCCCACATTGCTCTCCTGCTGCTGCCACATGAATCTGTGGGTTCCCCCCCCTCTTCAGCTTCCTGCCCCTGCCGCTAGGGACAAGGTGGCACATCCTGTGGGGCTGAGGGAGCACATGGGGATGTTGGGGGAGAGTGGGGATTTTATGTGGCATGGTGTATAGCCTGCAGATCCTAGCTACTCTAAGTTGGACACTCGTGGGCTATGTCATTATTAATTAGCTATAATGCACTACTACCTTGATGCTTCTTCCCCACTGTGCCCTGCACAAGCATGGTACAAGAGGGACAGTTCCAGTCTTAAACAGTGTAACTCTTGGGTCCTGTCCAATTGCCCTGGTGCTCTGTCATTCCTTGGTGGGCTATTCCAGGTGTGAGAATCAATGCAAACAGACTTGTTACCCACATACACCTACTCCCCACTCATAGGCACTACAGATCCCAGAGGTCTTTGGGTCTGTGGAAACATTCTTGGTTTAATAAAGTTATTCATTAAAATCACACCTCTAGTCTTTCCTCCCCATTGTGTAACTTTTGTCCTTATTTTTTCATGTTTGGGAATTTAGAGATCTTTATATTTGATCAGATAGGTCCCAGAAGGGACCATTCTACTACTCTCAAAACATTAATTTTAAGGGTATTTCTTATTGTAAGTTCTGCCTTTTTGCTAAACATGGAAATTCTCTGCATCTCTGGTCATAACCTGCTGGTGGAAGGCTATAAGTGAACAGGCAATAATTTCCCAAGCAATGACAGGTTAGGCAATAACTTCCCAAGCAATGACAGGTTAGGCATTTTCCAAGACACCTGTTCAGCTGTTTGGGAGATTTATGACTAATTATTGTATGGCTGAATAAATAATTAGCTTCTACGATTTTTGCCTTAGCTTATATTTTTACTACCACGTTATAAGTCATTTTTCCCCCAGTATCATTAAAACTGCTGTCAGTACAATAAGATGCATTTCATATTTGTAATTTGCTTTCTTCCTGCTTGTGTATATTGATTTTTTCACTCCTTTGTCTGTATTATTTTATCTTTGTAATTATCAGACCTGTTCATTGTCAGAGAGAATACTAATTCACAAAGAGGAGGTGGTGTCGGAGTAAGGCATATGATTCTTGCAAGATGATGAATCCATTCTGAATTGCTCCTGATCATTCTGAATAAAAGATGCCCTAGTTGTGAGACAGGCTATATAGCAAGACCCATTGAAAGAGCACTTCGGCTGAGTAATTGTAGCCCGTAATAACACATGCTAACTTTGCAAAGGAACAATTAGTAAAATTCTATGCAGGCCAGTAGAGATCTAATCACTGTAAGAGAACAGGAAGATTGAGCGCCACACAGAGATACAGCAGCTCTGTTACAAATGACCTTTTGCAGGTTTGAATGCTGTCAGGCATTTATCTTAGCCTAAAGAAACAGGAAAGATAAAAATGGAAGTGTCATGAGCATATATTCTCCTCTCAAAGTATGCACATAACTCTGAGTGACACTCGTGGGAATGGGCCAGGCAAGCCTGGAGAGCTCGCCAGCATCAATTTCTTCCTCTCATCCTCTCCCACAATGGGAATTATAAATCAGCTGGGGGTCTAGAGAGAAACATCGATTTATTTGATTTCTATGCTACCCACTCAAAACAGGCTTAGGACAGCTTACAATAAAAACAAGATGAATCATAAAAACAGATCAAATATTAAAATAAAATAGTAAATGATAAAAAGAATTTCCCCAAATAATATCCCCAAAACTTAATCCCACCTGCAAAAAGCCTGCCCAAATCAGTCTTGCAGTGGTTTCAGAGGATGTTCCAGCTTGGGCTCTGATGGGCTTCTAGGCGGGCCATGGAAGCAAATGGCTACACGGGGCACATTCTCCACCACATGGCATCTCGTATTTTCAATCTAAGCCTGGGGCAATGTGTGAGTAAAATTATGTTACATCTGAATTTTCCAGTAATGTTCACCATTCTCAGCATTTTAGCAGCCACCTTCATGTTTCTGGCATGGGGGTAAATGACTACTTAAAATGCAAGACAGTGGAGAATGAGCTCTGTTCAGAGTAGTGCTACCTGGGCAGGGAGTATGAGTGACATAGTCTGCTGAGTATAGCATTCAACTGGGAGGTAGAAGACCTTGGTTCAAGTGGAAGCTACAAATGTAAGGCCCATTTCTACTTGTATCTAAATCAGTGGGGGGTTTGCTATTTGCTTTATTAGGATTGAGAGCCACTTTTTAATAATTAGTAATCTAGAAGACAAAACATTTTTATAAATTTTCTTATAGGGGTTCCTTACCATCAGTCATATAAAGCTAACATTACACTTTTGAGATGGCAATGTGGATGGTAGAATATAGATATGTAGTCATTTACTCAAGGCCTGTTATTAAATTTAGTGATGGTGTAGATCAAAGTATACTGTAAATCAAATCAAGGTAAGGTTAGGGGTCTCCCCTTTAATACCTGATTCTTGATTACAGTGACAAAGAGCTTGATAGACTCTTTGGATTTTTAAAAAATGTTGATTGACAGAGTCTGAGGTCACTTGCAGCTCAGGCAGAAAAATGAACATGAGAAACTCCAATCCATGTCTTGCACACAGTTTTTTCCACTTACATTCTTTTTGATTGTAGAATATAATTCTGAGATCTGAATGGAATAACTGTTACACCTAGCCTAGGGACAGAAATTACACATAAACCAATATAAGTGATTGGAAACTGATTCAAATCTGTAACAGAAAAGAATTTCAGTGCATATAAATACTTTCAAAATGGCCAAAACCAGTTTAAGATAAACCTGGATGGATGTAGTTTTAGACTTGGCTGATTTAAGTTAAATCAGTTTATTGAACTTCTGTCCCAGATCCCCTCCAGAATCAAGTTAATTCACAGTCCACTCGCATCCCAGGATGCGTTGCGCTTTCCCTGCAAACCCCCCATTGCAGGGTGGGTGGGCTAGCTTTGGCCCAAGCTGTCTGCTCCAGTCGAGAATAGAGGTGTGCTCAAGCACCCCCAGCTTCTGGCCTGGGCCACTGCAGGCATGTGGCTGCATTTCCAGAATCAAAAGTGAATGTCTGTTCACTTGCTTATCAGTTCAATCTACACAGTGTAGACTAACCTGTGAAGACTGAATCAATTGAAACTCAGGCTTTTTGACTGTTTTTGTACATAGCCCTAATGTCACTGCTTCCATGGCTTGCTGAATGCTATGGTCCCTGAAAGCTTGCTTCTGTTTATCAGTGATAGTTCTCATGGTATTAAAAGGACACTCGAGTCATAGTTGACTCAGAAAGTCTTTGTAAAACTTTAGACCAGTTGAAAAGGCTGAGTAGGAATGTAAAGAAGCAACAGAGCAGCAGAGTAGGTAGAAGAGAGGGGGAAAAAAAGAGGCCAGGGCTGTTGGGAGGGGAGGGGAAACTGCTCCATATTTTTTTACTCCTTTAAAGTTAAAAAAAAAATCTTATTCTGCAAAAATGTCTGCGGAGACAGGCACAAGCGTTTTTCCATGCCTTCCCTACTTTTAACTAGCATTGAGCTGATATTCCAACAAACAGAAATTAATACAGATCAACTTGTTTTTGGCAGGTGCACTACAAATTAAGTCCCATGCCCTCCCCAGGTGTCACTCTCATCCCCCTCCTCTGCCCAATCTGCTGCTCTGCTTTTTGCTCCCTACTATATACATCACTGAGATGCCTGGCCCCTCCCCAGTCTCCTGTGAGCCACATACAGAGACTGCCCATTCCACTTGTGGCATGTGTGTTACAAGTTTGATTAATATATCAGCATTATGACTGATCCCAATGTAATTCTCTTCTCTGTGA